ATCGAGATTTATGCATAAAAATCGTTATTAAAACCACAGATTTGTAAAATAATAACAAAATTATAGATTAGCGCTTACATATATGTTAGTGTTTGGCCGATCTTGTAAAATAATAGCTAGAGAAAATACAGCCTATTAAGGCAATGCCTTCAGAGAAAACCCGTTTATTCGCTATCCTGTGATAATAATGCCGCAAGATAGGCAGCTATGTATGTACATGTCATCTGCAAAAGTGATATAACTCAAAATTTGGCATTTTGGATATTATGCACCAAGAAATTTATACAAAGCTTTTATTTTGCTTTTAGCAAAATCTGGAGTGCCCATATGATTAGCATGTTCGAAGAAATTGGTTTTCGCATTTCTGATGAACGTGTATTTTGAGTTTTGCCACCTTCGACGATCGTTGCGATATATCGCACGTTTAATAATATATTTCAAAATTTAAGTTTTGTGGGGAAAAAGCAATCAAAATTTGATCAATTCACGCAATGGAATACCAAAAGACCGTTTTCTCCGGGGGGAAGAGTCGTTGCACTTATACCCTATGCCCGTTTTCCGGTTTTTCCGGGGCCAAGAATCGCTATTCTGCACTTATAGCCCAAGTTTGAAATTTGGATTTATATGGTTTTCTTAGATAATGACCTATACTACCATTACAAGAAAATTAAGAACATTAATAGGGAATTTAGATGAGGCGATTTTTAGTTGAAAGCAACAATCGCCTGATGCAAACGGCCTTTCAAGTAATCGCTTTCAATGAAGTTGGTCGGTGCCTACTTTCGTTCAACTAATCGCCTGTGAAAGTTGAATCATATAAATTCCCTATATAAACAAGCAAATCGAAAGTCAACTCCGTTTAGCATGTTGAGGTGCTATCGTTTTGTCGCGGGCTGTACATATAACTGGACCTTCTAACGGGTCTAAAACATCTACATACATACATACTGAACCTACCGTACGAAATGTGTGAGCAAGTCCCGCTTTACATAGCAACCCACCTGCGTGCTTTTCTGACCGACTGGAATTCGGAGTATGCTTATTTAATTTTTAATATCTTCGAAGCGCCAAGCAATCCAATTTATTCTTCCATATCTGCCGCAAACGTCTTTGCTACATGCGTAACACATGTGTACATTTTCAACGCCGGCTTTACTGCACCGGGCTGAAGGAAAGCGGCTTATTAATGACAGGCGGTTTTATTATTAATGCACTCTTGTCCTTTTTACTTTAGTTTGACTACAAATACTTTTTTCGCGGCTTTAAATATTGTGCAAAATTTATTCTTATGATTTTCCTTGAACCCGTTTTCCTTCTTTCCGCGTGTGACTTTTCCAATTCTATTTGGCAGAGGCGGGTGTTTGCTTCAGAAGCCAGGGTTTCGTGCCGACAACTACGCACCAATAAAACCCTGTTTAGACTAAAGGCTAGAAAACACTATACAAGCAGCTTGACAAACTAAAATTGCCTATACAATATTATCTCTGATCCAGTACTCCATGAACTTACAGGATTTTACACGAA